CTATGCTGTGTTTGTATTGAGAATTATTTAAAAACATCACTCTTGCTCCAGGTTGAATTCTAATGGTATTAGGGAGGTTTGTTTTGTTTGTGAATTCACGGTTTCTTGAGTTAGTGGAGTATGTTTGGCCGTCTATGATATCAATACTGTCAGAAATTAAAATTTTATCTTTGTGAGTAGGAATTGAGGTGCAAATTGTACGATTAATTAGTTCAGCAGTTTCATGATAGCCTACTATGTGAGTGGTGTTGAGAGTTGTATTTAGTTGAGGTAATTGGATAGTTTCAGATAATTTTTGCGATAACGTATTCCAAACTTGTTCATCTATGATGCCATATCTGATTTTTTGTAGAAGAGTGTAAAAGTAAGTATCATCATTTTGTCTTTGGGGATCATGAAGAAATAAAGGGTAGAAAATTTTCCAAATAGGTGATTGATACACAGGAGGTGCATTGACAGGAGGTAAATGGGCTAGGTTACCAACTAAAATAACGCTGATTCCTCCAAATGAGTAGTTGTTTTTGTGCAATCGTTCAAAGAGTTCAGAGATATATATTAATAATGGATCTGATACCATTAAAATTTCTTCAATTATGAGGATATCAAGCTGAAGAAGAAAATTACAGAAATTTGTGTCATTGAATATAAGGGAGTGAAAACCTCTCTCATCTGGTATTATTCATAAGGCAGAGTGGATAGTAGTTCTGCCTACATTTAGAGCGGCAATTCCTGTTGAAGCCATTAATAAGTAATTTTGGTGAATTCTTTGAAAGTATTCTAGAAATGTACGAATCATAAATGATTTGCCGTTGCTAGCTGAGCCAGTGATGAAAAAGTATGGATAATGTGAGGTATCTCATTTGCCTAAGTAATTTGTTATTGTTTGGTAACAGTGATATTGACTTGGACTTAGGTTAACAATTATATTTGTAGGTATTATATGGGGTAATATTTTAAGGGATTTTAATTGTGTTTTAATAATGTCAACTATGTTATTAGTAAGGATAGATTGTAATGAAAAAATGATTGTTTCAATTATTATGTCGTATTGGTTTAGGGCATAGGTTGACTGATTCGTGATAAATTCTGAATTTTGGGTAATTATGAATTGATATATGTTGGGATATTTGGAGAAAAAGTAATCTTGATATGTTTGGTAAGTTCCGAGCATTTCTTGTTCAGATCTGCAAGAATGTTTTAGTAAAAGTTGTTAGTAGAAATAGGGTTCATCGTGTTCTGGTCTTAAGAAATGATAACGGACAAATATTTTGTTATCACATTTGATTATGAAATTTCCTAAAGTATTTTGATATACTGTTCTTTGAGTATTAGATAGTCTAGTAGATTTAATTTCATAAGTTTCAAATTAAGTTTTGTAGGTTATATTGTCAAATATGGGATTAATTGGACAAGCGAAATATTTTTCTATCTTGTCAAGCCAATAAGGATTGTCATCATCGGGATCAATCATATATAATAGTAATACAGCTTTTGACCAGATGGATAGGGAGTCAGTTGTTAGGAATTGAACTTGGATTGATGAATTTGTAATACGTTCACCAAGTAACAAAAACATTAATTCCATTGATCCTATTTGGCGAGCATAAATATACTCTCGATAGCATAATTGTTCTTGTATGTTGAATAGGTGAGTTGGTTTAGGTTTGCTTATATATTTAGTTATGTAACGGGCAAGTCCTTTATTGGTAACATACTAGGCATTCATATGGGCGTTCCATATAATTAGAGTTGGGGCATGGTATGGGATTACTTATTGGTCTTCAGGCATTAGGCATTGGTTGTATATCTATAGTTTTTTGGATTATAAAATGTGTATTCAGCAAAGGGACGAGGAAAACCTTTTTTACATTTAGAACCTGTTGGTGCTGGTCCTCCACATTTGGAGTTACAGGTATATATTTGTAATGATCGGACTTTTTGGTAAAGAATAGGTTCGGAATTGGGATCTGGAAGAGTTGATTTAATTGTGTTTAAATTAATCATTTTATTTATACTAGAAGTAGTCCAGTAAACACCATGAAGGTGTGCTGTGCCACAATTTTGGAATTCAATTCTGTCGAAGAAATGTTGGTATATTCCTCATTCACTAATTTCAGGATCTTTCCAAACAGATTTTTTAAGATTTTGTAGCTTGTGAATAAAATGTAAGGTTGTGTGTAGTGGTCTGTTTGTTGGTAGTGGGTCATGATTATCCTTGTTGATAAGAATTTTATGAAGATGATGCCATGAACCTTCTGCCATCAACAGAGTAATAAATACTCTTGGAAGTCCTAATTCACGTATTATTGTATTTAAATATAGGGTTTTTTGTTGGAAATAGGTATCTCTCATACGGATAAATGTAGGAATAGGTGTAGTATTAGTTTCATTATAGCGCCAGCTATTAGTGTAGGTACTTTGTTCGATAATTTCGATTGCAGTAGGTAATTGATGTGTCAAGTTAGCATTAGACTGACGAACCAATCGTTGTGTGTTTTGGAAATTTCTAAGTTTTTCTAATTGAAGGTATGCCCAGGCTGGCCAATAATGATGTAAATGGAATCGAGGGTCTAATGAGAGTAAGCGATGTTTGATATATTTGCAAAAGGTTTCATGACGGTGTTGTGTAAATTCTAGCTAATTATGTGTTTCATGATAGTAACCATGACTATCGGGATACAAATCAGGAAAAAGTAATGGTTCAAGGTTAGGGTCGTTTAGAGAAATTGGAATTCTGTTAGATCTGTTATTTGTTAAGAATCTAGCTATCAGGTGACTATAATGGGTATCTTCATTATGAATTTCAGCGGAGAAATTTTGATTCAGAACTACAATATCATCTGGTCATACAGAAGGCGTATCGTTATCGTCAGATAAATGAGTAGCTATTAGAAAAGGAGAGTGATTATATGATGTAATTGAAAATGAATTCCTGTATTCATGTAAATAGGGGTTATTTTCCTTGAGCCAGTTGGCTGCATTTATTAAGGAGTTATCAAGCCAAGGTGGATTTGAAGTAGTGTTAGAAGGTTCTAGAAAAGCTCCCAATATACCAGAATATAGACTTAAGGAGTGAAAGTTTTGGGAATAGTTCATAGTACCAACTAATATTCTATATTAGGTGAAAGGATTTGCTCCAGGAGTACAACCTAGTGAACAATGTAGGAAAATAGGTGATAAATATTTGCATTTTTCTAATAGTATGAGTTCTATTTCTGATGGAATGCGAGAAAGATATGGAGGATAATTTCTGTTTAGGCATGATTTATATGATGGACATATTGCTATTCTGTTTAGTGGTAGATTTGGATTAGTAACTAACACAATATCTGGATATACAGTAGTAAGAGGATAAGTAGTGTTAGGTTCTTTGAGAATCCATAGTGATTTTTCAGGATACATAAGTTTAGAGCAATTAGAACAGGGGACATATGGAAATTGACATAAGATTTCGTTCTCAAATTTGTAGATTATTTGATGCATTTTTGATGATATAATCCATGGTGAATGAGTTGAGGATGATACAGTTGAAATAGTATTATATTCAGAGTTTATTTCCTCTGTTATAGACTGCGACGTAGTATCAGTTTCAGTTAAATTAATTACTTGTTCACCATACTCTAAAGAATAGATTTGAAAAATTTGATGTGTATAAAATGACATGATTTACAGGTAATAGTAAATATATATAAGTTGTGAAAGATCAAGAGTATCAGAGTAGTTATGTTTACTTGAATTTATTTTTTAGTTTTGAAGTATTTTTAATAGTTTAAGAGGTATTAATTTTTTGGAACGAAGAGAATTAGTAATAATTACGAATAGCTTTTTGAAAGTGCGAGATAGAAGTCTTTTATATGTTTAAATAAAATATAAGCTTTGTATCTAATATATATTTTTTGTAACTATTGCATATTGAATATTTTTTAGTTTTTATTGTTCTTTTTTTAATTTGTTGAGATTAATTATAATTTGTAGAGTTTATCAATTACAGATTACGCGTTTTAGTATTATTATATTGCATACGATACAGCATTTGGTAAGTACGTAGCTAAGTAATAATTAATTTCTAAAATAGGATATGCATATATAAAGAGATATATAAAACTATTAAGGCTAAGTAATAAATAATAGCTATTTTTGGTATATGAGCGCCTAGGATGTTAATAATAGCATATCAATAAAAGTATACAGTAAATTTGGTAAGTATGTAGGCTAAGTAATTAATAATATCTAAAGTGGGAATGTGTGTATATAAAGTAATAGTTTATAGCGAGATTATCAAGGCTAAGCAACAACTAATAGCTAATTTGGGTATATGCGAGTATAAGGTTATAAGATAAATCGGGTAATAATAAGGTACACAGCAAGGCAGTAACTAAATTAGGTATATGCATATTTAAATAGTAATAAATAATGCAGTAATGCAAAATAGGCGATATTAAAACATGCAAATCTGTGCTGATAATATTAACATATACCAAGGTTACACTAATACTAATACTAATATATAATATCAACTAAAAGCTATTTTAATTAAAGTCATTCTATCCAAATCATAGTATTGGCAAGGCATCAGCTGAGGTATAGAACAATTTGGTCTGAGTAATTAGAGTTAGTAAGTTTTTTGGTCATATTGAGTTAAGTTATTTTTTGAATTCTATATTAGTTTATTGCTTTATTATTAATAGTTTTTTGTTATAATTTTTCTGGTTTTATAGTATATACATAGAACGATATTATGCTAAATTAACATATTATTATGAAAACAATTAAAAAGAGAACAGTGACTAAAATTTAATAGTGGAGCTTAATAAAATGAAAGGTTTATATATATTTATTTATTTTTAGTAACCTATTTAGATATAGAACAATAAAAATGATCAAATTTTATTTAAATGAGTTAAATAAAAAACGATTTGTTAACAATTTAAAAAATAAAGATAAAGAAAAAGCAATTTTGTTAAAAAAAATAATTGTTAATAATTTTAAACTAACAATAGTTAAGATGTAGATGAATCAGGGATTCTATCATTTTGATTGCTTAATGCAATTTTTGCAAGATCAGTAACTTTTGGGCATTCTTTTGATCTAAAGTATGGTTTTATAGTGGTTGTTTTCTTTCTTCTACTACCTTTTACTCTTGTGGCAATTGTTCGGGTTGTGGTTTCAGTACATGATTCTTCACCTAGAGGTTCATGTTGGGCAGCAGTTTTAGCACTTGACTTATTAGTTAGAGGTTCATTTTGAATTGTAGCTTCAGTGTCTGATTTATTAGTTAGAGTTTCATTAAGGAGCGCGGTTACAGTGTTCAATTTATTAGTTGAAATTTTATTCGGAAATGTAGATTTAGTATTTGATTTATTAGTTGGAGTTTCATTTAACCAAGGAAGATTAGCTGGAGTTTTTAAATTGACACCTAATTAGATAAAAAAAAGGATTAAAAAAAAATATTAAAATATAATAGAATAATAATTAAGTGAAAGAAATTATGCACAAATATTTTGAAAGTTAATCAGATTAATATTTATATTAATATATTGACTATATATTTCTAGAACCAAGTACGCAATAAAAAAAAAAGAGGGGGAAATTAATACCAGATTTTTGAGATTCAGCAAAGTTTATAGTACGGAGATGAACGATATAATTATCACGAGTTAACATCAATGTTAATTCTCTACTAATAAAAAGAACAGATCCTACTTTAATGGAAGAGGTAGTCGAAGCAAGGTGTTGAGCAGACTTTAAGTGATAACATTCTAATTTTTGAGTTATGTAATCCTGATCTACATAATCTTTTGTTTCTATAGTTAAAATGATGTTATCAGATTCAACTTGAGGAAGTTCGATTGTGATAGCCATTATATTTATCAAAATAGGGAATATCAGTAAATTACTTGAATTGATAGTAAGATGAACAACTTCAGACAATATAATCTAATATATAATATAAAGAAATTTATGATATATTGTAATGATAAAGTTGTATTTTAGGATTTACCTTTAATACGAGATATTTTTTTCCACTTTTATCTACATTTTCAATAATTCGAAATTTATCAGTTACCAGAAGTACATCTTCAGCTGCGAATGACGCCAAAGCAGATTCTTGTATTTGATTTTGTGGGTAAAAGCCTACTAAAAGAAGGTTTAACACAGAATCTTTATCTCTAGAGCGCATTATTCTAGCAGCTTTAACAACATTTAGAGTTTTATTTGTGATAAACTCCTATCGATCAGTAATATAACATACTGTTGTTATCGTTAATGGCATTTTTTTTTTTAAAAAAAAAATAAAAATAAAAATAAAAAAAAATAAAAAACCAAAGAGTAGCTTAATTTTTTTTTTTTAAAAAAAAAAAAAGGTAAAGCCAAAAGGCAGTTTAACTTTTTTAAAAGGTGAGGCTAATTTTTTTATTATTAATAAAAAAATAAAATAAAATCAAAGGTAGCTTAAAATTCAGATTATTAAATTTTTTTATCTGCGTAATTATAATTTTTTTGGTCGTTAATATTTATTAAATATCATGTTTTTAAAATTAAAATATTACATTTTCATATGGTAATCAAGATTGTAAGTCATATTTTAACATACGCATACTTGTGTTTACCTGTTTACTGTAATAATAACTAATAATTAATGGATTTATAACTTTTTTATTTGCGCATTTATTAAGAATAATTAAAAACAAAATATTATATCTTCATGTGGTGACCAAGATTGAAACTCGTATTTTAATATACGTGTACTTATATTTACTTTCACTATTTGCATTTAATTAATACATACATTCATCAATATCAATATGTATATTGCAAATCATATGAAATCGCATGTATTTACATACTACATGTTTTTGATGCATGACATCATCTCATTAATCATTATTTTTTCTCTCGAATGAATTTTTTTTTTTTTTGAAAAAGCAATAAATTGTTTCACTAAGAAGTTTTCGATGTTATCAAGATTATCAAATAATCAGACCAATAAAAAATCCGATACAGAAAAAGAGAAAATTAACAAAAGCTTGAAAACATGTATTTTTAAATATACATTTTTTTTTTATTTAATAATTTTTTTCTTTTTTATTTATTATTTATTTAATTAATTAAAAAAATAAAAAAAAAGCAAATACAAAAATGATCGTAATTTTAGTATTGAAAAGTATTAGTTAGTTAGAGGTTACTAGCTAGAAGATACTAGCTAGAAGTCACTAGCTAGAGACTACTAGCTAGTAAAATACTAGTTATAAAAAAGCCGAATGCAAATTTTCTTTTTTAGATATTGCGAAGAAATTGTTTTGATGATCCTCTGCACGAAGAATGACACAAATCAACATAAATAGCTGTAAATACTAATCATACAGAGTAAAAGTATTTATACTACATGATTACTTATAGCAAATTTATTATACTGCATGACTATATATAGTAAAAAGCACTTGGTAAAATTTAAAAGGGTTAATAAGGCTCCTATCTCTATTATAACTTATACACATCATACACATATATATATTATCTGTAAAATTAAAGACTTACCTTGTGTTGATACTAAAAACAAAGGTCATTCACCAGATTACACTATTGCTATTTCACTTAAAAACTATTATTTAATTAATCATAGCTGTATTTACAAACTTACTACAATTCTAACCAAAGCTCTTCTTTAAACCTAAGTACTTAACAAAAACCAAAAAATTGTAGTACTTTTAGCTACTATTGTAATGACTTCTAAAAAAATAAAATTAGATACTTCAAGGCTCTTAAACAATATACAAAAGCAGAAGTCAAACAAATCCTTAAACAAAATAAACAACCAAACCAACAACAAAATAATCTATAGGTAATCAATAACAAAACAACAAAAACAACAACAACAAAACAAACAAAACAACTAATAATATAAACTAAAAGAAGGAGAAAAAGAGAAACCTTTCTTTGATTTCTTTAAAAATATTTCAATTACTACAGAAATAGAACCTTACATATATCTTAATATCTTATTTGCAAAAAATATCTTTAATTTTGTTAAATCTAATTTTATTAATTTCAGATCAGATCAAATTCTCAAAAAAGCCAAAGGTGAATAACCAGAACTTAGAGCTAATTTTGAGTATTTGATTAAAACTATAGCTAACAAATGTCCTAGTTTTTTAACAGAATTAATTTACAAATTTAATCTACAAACATATCATAATACAATAATCCTTTTCAAAACTTTATACACTAATTTTTGATTAATTTTAACTAAATTTACAACTACCTTTTTTACTAAACTTAATTATACAAAAGTTCTTTTCTTTATTGAATCTATTCCTTCAAGTACTTTACAAAACCATAACCAAGTTGCATTAAATCTTACTCAACTTTATCTATATTTAACTAAAAACTTTCAATGAATTAACTATAAAAAATTTGCAAAAGATCTAAGCATTAGTTCTCACAAATTTAAACTTATCTATTACAAAAATGAATATGAAAGTGCTATTTATAAAGCATCTTTTTTAACTATTAATAATGACAAACTGTTTAATATTTATATTCATTTTAATATTTCTAAACTTTAATTTTTATATAATTTTCAGATTCCTTCACTCAAGAAGTGCAAACCTCAATTCAACAAGTAGTATGAAAATTTCTTTAAAATCTATAGTTACTAATTCCTTCAAATTAACAAAGAAAAAACCTACAATTATCTAAAATATCAAATTGTATAATATTTGCAAAATGTTGTAAAGAAATATTACTTTATCAGTACAATATTAGAGAGATTCTTTCTCTATAAGACTGAATTCACAAGACTAAAAAACTAGTACTATTTCATATTCACAAATATGATTATACTTCACAAAATTCTTGCAAGTTACTTGCTCCTAAAATTGAACATAAATTTAAATTTTTTTTTTTTGTTTTTTTTTTTATAATACCAAAATAGAAACTTTATTCATTGAAAAAATAGAGGTAAGTCTATATACAATAGTTAAGATTTCTAAAATATTTATGCTATAATTAAGATACCCAATGTGACATTACACCTCCTATTTCCAAAAAAGATTAAAATAATTATTTCAAATTAAATTTAAACTAAGGATAGATTAGGAGAAAACCTTAAGGTGTTAGTCTTGGTATTATTCAATACAAGTAGTAAGAGGAAAACTATATAAAAACTAATTTTTTGTTATATTAAAAGAATTAGATGATTTTTGTGATTTAGTTGTTAGAAATAAGTTTGGTAAATTAGAAGTTGGAAAGGAGATTTTTTTCTTTTTTGATTTTTGGGTTATATTTCGAGCTATTTTCTATTGATGTTGATAAAAGTTCCTTTGAGACTATATATCTTGGTGGAACTAATCTAGTGTAGAGTTCGATAATTTTATTAGAAATATTTCTGTTTGATTATGTAGAGAAAGTTTTAAATCATCAAAAGTAGTTAGTAAGTAATAACCAATAGTAATATGAGAAAGAAGTAAAAAAATATTATTTGAAAAGTATATTAAAGGTTTTAGAAGAATATTTATGATTTGTTGTACTAAAGATTGGGAAATTTTAAGATTAGGAAGTAT